AAGTTGATCACTAATAAAAATCTTAGCTCTTTGCAATTGATGATTTCCCATCATGGAAATATATTCCTCACGTTTCTTATATAATGTTTCAAGATCATCAAATTTAACAAAAAGTGACGATAAAATTGAACATAAATTAGAACCAATTGTTATTGTTTGAAGATGGTTCAATGTTCGAGAAGATAAACGAGCCGATATAGATTGATCAAAATTTGAAAATAATGGTTCATTTACAACTGTAGGTATACCTGAAGATGAACATGAGTTAGTCAATGATTGATAATGATGACCTAAACCAAGACGAGTATCTTGCATAATTGCTTCCACAGGTATTGCTCGTCCTTGACCATGAACACCCAAACCTTGTCCTTCTACATAACCGCTTTTTTTCATCATTTTCATGGCTTTTGATTCACCGATGGGTTCTTGTTGTTGACTGATGGATGAATCTATTTCCATTTCAGTAATAGTATCATGTGTCATAGATTTCTGTGAAGTATCTTGTCCAAAAACAACTGTCTTTCCTTGTCCTAAATTCATCTTTTTTATTATTCTTTCTTCTCCTTCGTCATTATTAATACTTTCATTCTGATTAGTACCAGATAAAAATTCTTCTCGATTACGTTTTCTATTTTGTCGATCATCAAGTGTTCCACCTGTTCGTTGACGTAAACCACCTTTAACAACTGCAGCACTATTACCTAATGCTTTAGCTGATCCATCAAGTTCAACATTAGTTACAATACGTATAAATTGTTGATAATTATAATCAATACAACATTCATGTCGAAATTCTTTAACAACATCTTGATTTAATTGAAATATAGCTTGTTGAATATTTCGATTCCAAATTTTTTCTAATTCAAGATTACGTTCAAGTGCTTGAATTTGTTTCATTGTAAAATAATCCGCAATTTTAATTAAAGCATCAAGAAATGATGGAGGAATTGAATCACGTGATAATAAAGCTTTATCACGAGGAAATTCAGGTGAAACAAATGAAAGTAACGAATCAAGTATTTCGGAATCGATTCCACGAAATCCAAGTGCAATAGCATATGTTTCACCATTTGGTGCACGTGATGATGCTGGTTTAAATATACTTAATTCTTTAAAATGGAGAGCCAATATATAAAGAAGACATATTGTTTCACATTCAAATAAATTAAACATTTTTAATACTAATGAACCATTTTTTGCTAAACTTCCTAGAGCGCATATAGCTTCAGCATAATGAAGTTCAGATACAATTGATTCTTGTTCATTTGGATCAGCAGATGTATCAACAGAACCATCACCTGTTACAAGATGAACACCAGTTGATTTTGGATCACTCTAATTGAAACAAATCGTAATAAGCAAATTAAAATATGAACGACAATAGGACACATATTAATTATTACTTAAAACTAAATACTATTGTTTTATCTCTGACAAACTTTATAAGTGTTCTTTCACTTGTCCTTTGATTAAGATTATTCAAAGATCATACTAGAATATGCATCAGTGTATTCAAAAATGACATTTTTCATTTATATTGTTAATCCAAAGAAATGAATACGTTTTAAAGATATACAACATATATACACAGATATTGTTGTTCCTATTTTTTCACTTAATATAAATATCCCAAATCCTCGTATAGGCTAATGATCTGCGATTTTCAGTAATCGAAAGAAAAGATCAGTGGATGTTTTTCTATATAATATTGTATATAACAAAATCATCCGCAACACTGTTATTTATGCAGATATTTCCCAAAATCACATGGAAATGATATACAAACAGAATGAATTTTTGTTTTTCATACTCGTATTTGACAGACAAATATCAAATCAACACTTCTATATTAAATTCAAATACTTAGCTACTCGTTTTCTTATCTACAGCAAACTACATGGAGCTATGAATACCCTATAATAATGAATATTACTCTGAATTCAAAACAATTACTATTAGATAGTTGCCTAGGTGACTATATCATAGTGATTGTTTTCAACTCAGAGTAATATTCATTATTATAGGTGATTCGAACCTTCATGTCGTTTGATGAAGATAAGAAAACGATGTAGTTGAATATTTGAGTTTAATATAGACGTGTCAGTTTGATATTTTTCTATCTAATACAAAAATTCATTCTGTTGGCATACTGTTTCCATATGTTTTTGGAAAAGACTTGCATAAATTAAAGTGTTGAGGACGATTTTGTTGTATACAATATTATATAGAAAAACATTCGATGATTTTCTCTTCCAATTGCTGAAAATTGCAGGTTGTTAGCAATTGACGTTGTTGATTTATTGAATTTAATCTCCTACATGTCTCCAATTGAATTTTTTATTTGATTGATAAAAGACGAAAATGATTGAATTTTAAAGATTTTTCGATGAATTTCCATAATAGAATTTAGGCAAAAAAATGAACTGAAAAATTATCCAATTTTGTTGGATTCGAAAAGGAAAATTATTAAACTTGTTATATACGGAGTATTTAGTGAATGAACTCACCCGAACTCTGTACCATAAGCCTTTAATATTATTTTTATCTAAAATATTTCCACTGTTATCTATACCAAAATACCATCTATCTAATGTTTCGATTATAAATCGATCATCATCAACCATAGCTTCCTGATCATTGCCTTCATAGTAAGGATTAAGTGAAAGACCTGTCCATTCCCATTGCCGTTGAGATGAACGCAAACCTATTCTTTCCAAACGTTGATTATAGTAGAAGTTAGTTGCACATATAAAAGCACCCGGTGCTTCACATACGTGCAGGGTTCTAAATGTTTGACCATCAGGCAAATCTGTAAATGCAATAAAATTAATTTTTTTATATTTATGTTTAACATTCGCAACATAATGATTATATATTAAAAACTGCTTAACAATGATCATATATTTCCACTATTCTGATGATTCTATTTCTTGAGTATTGGCATAGTTTTAGTTAAATTTTAGCTACTGGATCGCAGAATAGTCTTTTTCGTTGTAAGTCAGAAGGTAATTTATCATAGATTTTTTTCCCTAGTTCTTGGTTCGTATTTAAAATCAATTTTTATTTAACTTATAGATTTGTCAAAGAAAAAACATAGGACAAAATGCTAAGAATATCATTGTATTAAAAATAAGATACATCAGAAAAAAATCTAGAAAAGCAGCGAGTATGAATTTTTTTTCTTCATTTTTTTTTTAATTGTTTACACTATTAAGCAGTATTTACCTCTTGGAATAAGATTATCATATTTAGAAAATATTTCAGCCATTTTAATCCATGCATTTGTACACATTTCAATATGATTTTGATCTCGTAATGACCAAACAATACGTCCTGTCATATTTGTTTTCGACGTATGTTGTTTCCATACTTTAATATCTTTTTCATTTAAACGATTTCGTGTATCATTAAGTTTTTGTTTTAATTGAATTAATTCCTCAATATCCCATCGATTAGTTTTAAAAAGATTTTCAGATAATAACATTGATTTATCTTTAAGTGAAGTAACTATTGGAAAATTTCTCTTCTTATGAAAAAGTTCATCCTTTCCTTGATAAACTAAACGTTCTTCCTCAGTAGTGAGAGATGAATTGCGACCACCATAGTTATTTGGGTAACGTCGATATGAATGACTGTCATTTCTTGCACGACGAAAACTATCAACACCATGATCTTTCCCATTATCTCGACGAGAATTATTTGAATTATGATATGACATAATTTGAAGAAATATTGAATAGTATAAAACTAAAATAAATATTAAAAACATAGAAGATATCAATTGTATTTTAACTAGACAAAAAATATGCTCAATTTAACTAGGTGTCTATTTCATACTTTTTAAAAATATTTTAATATTGTAAATCGAAATAGAAAAGAAACTTTCAATAATGTACTATAAAAAGAGAAATATTGAAACAAAAAAATCATTTTTGTCTTTGCAATAACAAATGAGTCAGAAGATACCGCTGGATAAGATCGTAAATCTGCTACTTTCCCTAAGTTACAATTTCAACAAGTTAGAAAGATAGAGTATGAAATAATCGATAAACATAATCAATATGATATTTTGTCAACCATGAAAAACCACGTGGATCTTCATTATTAATTTTCAAATCAAGTTAACAAAAGAAAAAATGATGTTTTCCATAGTTATTATCTAAAATACAGAAAAATAGTAGACCTCTTAAAACTATTCAGTTCTCGAAAAGTTTTTTATTATATTCAGCAAAAAAAAATATATATATAGACGGAACTATGCAGACTTTCATACTCTATCTTTCTAACTTATTAAAATTGTAACTTAGGGGCATGTCATATTTACGATCCTATCCGACGGTATCTCCTTTGTCATCTGCTCCCCATAGCATACTTTTGCCATTTGACTTCAAGGTATTCAATAATTGAATACAAGTTTTACATTCAATGCAATAAAGTAACGTTGATCAAAGAAAGCGAGAAAAATGTTCACCACACTCTTGTTTTTTTTTCTTCTCTTACTCTTCAATTTCTTTTTCAAGATCGTGAAATAGTCTGTAAGGATTTCTCAAGAGGTTTTTTTTCGCTTTAATGAATAAGATCATTTTTTTGAGAACTGTAAGAAGAAAGAAATATAAGCAGCTATTGAAACTTGTTATTCTTTCATGAAGTTTTATAATAATAGAGAGATAGCGTTGATCAACAGAAAAAAAAGAGAGAAGAACAGTCATAAAAAGATTGCTATTGTAATGTTGTGAAGTAAGGCAGTGAAAAAGTAAAAAAAAAACATTTTTTTAAAAGTGGAACATTGAAAAAATAAAGAAAAATAAAAGAAGATTGAGCATTCTATATTTTTTTTCGAATGACGAGCCATAGATATTTTCCTTGTGCATCAGCAGCATATAATAAATTTTGCTGCTTTCATATTACGAAGAGAAAGAGAGAAAAAAATCCAGGGCGTAAAAGTATTTAAGATACATCTTTTATCATAATAGCTAATATTATAGAAAAAAAAACAACACATGGCGAGTAGCAAATGGAATCAAAATAATAATAATTTCAATTTTCGTCCACGATCTGGAAAAAACGATAATACTTTATCTTTTGGGCAAAATAGAGGCAAAAAACAATCTTATGATCGTCATACCAATAATAACAACTATTACCAATCACAAGAACAAATTTTAAGAAATAGTCATAATATTGAACAATTTACAAGTGATAGTCCTTCAGAATTTCGAACAAGAGCAAATGATGATGAAATTAATGCTTATGCTGTCAATCTTCAATTGAAACCAGTTGAAATGGGTATTATAGCAAAAACTAATCAACGAAATCAAGAATTCAAAGGTTTAGGTGTATTCAATCGTTATTTTGGTTTAGTAGCACCAACAAATAATTTTGGATATACACTTCCTGACGTTTGGGATGGTTATTTTCACATAACGCTTGCTAAATTCTTAACTCGTGTTGCACCTCATCAATTAGAAGAAGTTTTCAGTAGATTTATTCCTTCTTTAGAAGATCTACCTTATATTCCTGATATTATCTTTCGAGCATCAAGTATTAAAATTATTCCTGGTGAAAATCGTCCTAAAGGGCGAGAACATATCAATTTCATTGTACTTCCTATTGATTATCATTCCGAAACAATAGCATCTCTTGAAAAACTTCAATCATTACTTGAAAAAATTGAAAAACAAACAGAATCAAATGATTGGAATGCAACACCGTTCGTTGATCTTCATGTGACTATACGCAAATATTCCAATATTGGTTTTATTTTAAACAAAATTAGAATAGAAAAGTTTCCAATCGAATTTCGATGTTCTCATCTCGAAGTTAAACAAACACGAGAACGAGCAGTGAATCGATACAAAAAAGCAAAAGACAATATATATAGATGGTGGATTGGTGTAACTGAAATCGATAAGAAATGCTCGGGTTGTCATATACCTATTATATCTGATAGGTGGGAAGGATTTTGTCTTGCATGTGGACAATATGAGTCAATTATTCCAATTTGGTCAACAAATGGCAAAAATATTTATCATTATCATCAAATACAAAATCAAGAAAATATGAGAAATGCTAATACATTAAGTGAACTAAATCAACATACTAATTATAAAGAACTATAAGAAAAAAAACGAATAAAAAATCTAAATTCTTTCTTCTTACTGATGATATGCAACCATATCATAAGGATATATCACATTAAATATAGTAATGCTAAGTATATCGCTGTTGTACTACGTAACACCTGATTAGGGAAGAAGAAGAAGAAGAAAAAGACAATATAAAAAACAAATAAAGCGAACATATATCATTTTTTTATATTCTTTATTAACATTGTAAGTGAGTTAAAATGAATCAATCTGCTAGAAGAAACAGACGGTAGCATAAATAGAGAAGTATACTTGTGTAAAGGATGGCGGTTGACGTTGATATTAATTATCACCATATGTGTTGATGTTTCAATTAATTCAAAGAAAATTATTTTTCTTTCTATTGTAATAAAGATGATTAACATTTACAAAAGATATGTGTCTATCATAAAATTATTGTATTTTAAGGTGAAACGTAAACATTTAAGTAAGAGAAAAGAATGTTGTCTATGCATATTTATCTTGAAATATTGAATTTAAATCAAAATATAACGGGGGTATGCCAGGATGAATGGCCGCTTTTTGCATTTCAATTTTCATTCACTTAACATGCTGTATTAAAAAACAAAATACACCACAAGATGCAGCGTGGAAAGCTCTACAATTTGCATAAGATCGGTTTTGTTTTGTAGTTGCACTTTTTGCTTTCAAGGTGGTCAAAATTTTGAGCGATCAAATTTCAACCATGCAAAAATTTATCGCCGAGATTTCTGCTTTTGTTGAAAACAATTACAATAAGCTTTACTATGTAAATTGTAGAGTTTTTCACTCTGCATCTTGTAGTGTATTTTGATTTTTTTTTAAATGAAAGATATTATGTGATAAAAAGATGAAATAAGAAATAACGAAATCATCTTGTGTCAAAAAAATGCCGTTTTTGCACCGCTAAAATTTAATTGCTCAAAATTTTGACCATTTTGAAAGTAAAAAGTGCAACTATAAGAGAAGCGGTCTTGTGTAAATTGTAGAGCTTCTCACGCTGTATCTGGTGATGTATTTTGTTTTTTTTAATACAGCATGCTAAGTGAATGAAAATTGAAATGCAAAACGCGGCTATTCATCTTGGCGCATCCATTATCTAAATATTCTTCTTATAATTTCAAAACAAACTTTCAAAAATTTATTCTTAACATGTATTTCATTAGGATTTTTCACATTAGATTTGTCAAGATTTGAAAAATAGAAAGTTGAAAAAAGTTGAGTTTTTTTCTTATTCTCTTCTTATTAGAACTCGGTAGTTCCGAAAAAAAAAATGAAACAAAGAACCGGAAATTTTTAGCTTCTCTTACCCGGAATCGGAAATTAAGAGAGGACGGAGCCGGAACAGGAACTATGAAATAAAAGAAGATGGAATCGAAAACTTATTACTGATAACTGGTGAGTTATTCAAATGTTGAATAATCTAAAGCCAGAGAATGTCAATCTACGGTTGCTGCAAAAATAAACTATGCATGTTTCTCACAATTAGATGTAAAGAGAAGTCAAAAATAGTTAAAAGTTTGATGAAGGCTCCTGATAGAAAAACGAACGTCGTCAAAAAAATCATTTCTTCAGAAAAGGCACGCATTGATACTCTAATGTGCAATTTGATAATCATTATGGCTTTGAGTTATATGCCTGTTGAAAATGAGATTTTTACCATAAAAGACGATTTTCTTGTCTGAAAAATCGTTTTTTGCCGAAGAATGTCAATTTTTCTCACAACAGTTGTTCAGTGAGGGATTTTCATTTAGGTCAAACAATTCTATTATAAGGTCTTGTAAGATTCTTCTACGATCTTAGTGTAAGATCTCGTACGATTCATGTGTAGAAAGTCTCTCATTTTTATATGTATATGTATATTTATTTATAAAAATTACAACAGCTCAATGAAAACAAATATATGCGCTTAAACGACATAAAAAAGAAAAACATACACAATTATTTTTATTGAACTTAATAGCTAAAAGGATCTAAAATACAAAATAGATAATTTAATATGAAAAAAAAAACTTTCCTTAAATATGTTGCTAGAATGAATTAAAATAATGAAATAAATAATTTAAATTAAAAAAAAACTTGCTGCGTTGAATTAACCGTTAAAATGTTATAAAATAAAAAATAAATAATTTAAACCAAAGAAAATCCACTTCTATTTAATCAAATTGATTAAATTATTTGTGTGGATTGACATTTTTTAGTAGATCAGTACCACTATATAGAAGACATATTTTCAACTCTAAAAAAAGTAACGTCTAAATTAAAGCGTATTTAACTGCTTAAATATTTATTTAAATGCACCAAACTATTATTTGTACAAGTGAGATCTAAAATTATGATCTTACAAGAGTTCAATTATCAGTTTTTACAAGAATCATGTACGATTCACAGTAGCATTTTATAGTCAAATAAATATTAAATCTTATAGTAAGATATTTGTACGATTTCATAAGTTCATACAATATGAATCTTATGACCTCTAATTGTCAGAAAGATCTTGTAAGATTTTTTCACGTAGGAAGTTGGTAAACTCTTAGTTACAATCATCTTATATTTCTTCAAACGATTATAAGATGCCAATTTACAATGAAATTTTGACAGAAAAAAAAAAACTTTCGAGAAAGTTTTCAGCCCTCAAGGTAAGTAAAAATTAGACACGATTGCTTTCATATGATTTAAAGTTATAATGCAAGGTGGCGCAAAAGTCACGATACCGAAAAAAAAATTAAATATCTCCCTTATGGCTTGAGCAAAGAAGCTGATTTTTTTATTAATAGTAGAGGTATGCTCAAGATTTATATCCATAAAGACATCCCTATAGGGACCTCTTGTTAAGTTTAGATATTGATCTCAACAAAAAAAATGTCACTTTTTCATAGATTGGAAAAAAATGATATACAATAGCGCAAAAGCCTTGTTGCCGAAAATAAAAATTGAATATCTCCATTACGGCTTAAGCAAACAAGTTGATTTTTTTATCAATGGTTGAGATATGTTCAAGCTTCATATTCACTAAGACATGTTCAGAGAAACTCTTTGCTAAGCATATCGTTTTCTTTTCAATCTGTGAAAAAGTGAAATTTTTTTGTTGAAATCAATGTCGAAACTTAGCAAGAGGTTCCTATAGGCATGTCTTTATGCATATAAAGCTTGAACATACCTCTACTATCGAAAAAAAAAATCAGTTTCTTTGCTCAAGCCATAAGGGAGAAATCTAATTTTTTTGAGGGGCTGCAGAATTCTTGCCAAGCAGAAATAGAATTCTATTACATCCAGCAGAATTTAAACTTCGTCACACACAAATGAATTAAAAAGTACAGCAGAATTTTGCTACAATCTCGATAGAATTCTATTACATCCAGCAGAAGTCAACTCGTTTTAAAAAATATATAAGTCCACAGAATTCTGAATTCTGCTTGGTAGGCATTCTGCAGTTGCTGGGTAAGAGTAAATAAAAGATTTTTACATTAAATAATAGTCAAACATTTTGGCAATTTTTCTAGCAAACAAAGGTGGATGTGGGTATGTGGATGAGAATGATGTGAGAGACACGCAGATCCAGATCAACACCGTATACTGGCAGTAGTGCAAACAAACGTGCAGCATGCAGACTGTTGATTTAGCTAACATCTTTTCGAATAAAATTCTAAATAAAAGAATTATTGTTTAAGAATTTTCTACATTGAACCATTATATATTTGTCATCATTAAACAATCCAATGATTCAATTATTAACAATCCTATTTATTTCATCGAACATAAAATATCACATCCATTTATCGATTTCGATCGAGCAAGTCTAAAGCAATATTTTTATTAAAAAACTGGAAAAAAAATCTAAATCATTATTTTTTTTCGATTTTCGTCATATATACGTTAAGCTAATTATTTTAAAATTTCTACAATATTAATACCGCTATGATGTCTTTCTGTACTAAATCAAAAGAGAAATATGCAGTGAAATGAAGGAAAAAGTATATTTTATTTATTTAAAATTAATTAATGTAGAATTTTCGACTAGTTTTCAGTTGAAACCTGCTGGTAAAATCGGTCATCATCAGTGCGAAACAACTAATATAATCATCAAATCTAACATCATAACGTAAACGTAATAAAATTATAAATCATAAATCATAACAATTAATTAAAATAATAATTCTACATCAATTAATCTTAAATAAATAAAATACATTTTTTCTTCATTTCACTGCATATTTCTTTTTTTGATTTAATGAGATACTTCGTTCATTAAACATATTCTCTCACGTTTACTTTCTTTAAAATTGAAACATATATATTTGCAGTATTTATAAACTTGAGTCTTACAAATACAGTTTATGGTTCTAATTAATTGTCATGTTTTACGATTGATGATTTATAATTTATGATTTATATTATGTTTATGTTATGATGTTAGATTTGATGATTCGATTATATTTTTCGTTATTTCGTACCGAAGATGACCGATTTTACTAGCAGGTTCCAACTGAAAACTGGTCGAAAATTCTACATTAATTAATCTTAAATAAAATAAAATACATTATTATTTTTTATTTCACTGCATATTTCTCTTTTGATTTAATAAGATAATTCGTTTATTAAATATATTTTCTCAAGTTTAGTCTTTCTATATGTTGAATATTAAGATCTTCTAACATTTTCATCATATAATAATGTGTATATTTTCCAATATCTTCATTAAATGGTTTTTTACTAATTAAAATATTCAGCATGTAATTGTCCAATATAGGAATGAATACTTACGAAAACAGTATTGATCTATGAACACAAGCGCATTTTTATTAAAATGTGATTTCTATATTATTGCACAATGACATAAACAATATTATGTCATAAAATAAATGAAACATGGCTATTTCAATTGTGAAATAGATTTTATTCAAATGATTAATGAACTATGAAGTCCTAATATATATGTTAGATGAACGAAATTTAATATTAATAAATCATTACAGTTTTATTATTTCGAAAGTTTGTCTAGAATAAATCATTATGATGTGCGTAGGAGAGATGTTCGTGACGATGTTGCTGTGTCGCCACCACGACAACGGCAGCTTTTTGTTTTAGGAACATTGTAAAATTGCATGAATTTGCATCGGATTGGAGTGTCTCTAAATCCAAATGTCAGAATATTAGTGAATCTGATGAATTCAATCTAACAGTGCTAATTGAGTACAGTGACGGAAGAATTTCTCAAAAGCTATTGTGGCTGCAGCAACTTTTTTTATAATTTACTGTGATGCGGCAGATTTAGATTTTAGTCGCGTCACAGCGAGGTTAGAGTATGGCTGAAGAGAAGGACCATACAACTGCATAATCTCTTAGTTCTTGTTTGTTTCTTATCGAAATAATATTTCTTTTATAATATCCCACTATGTTTAGTTATAAGAGGGTGACTATCATATAGATGTTCGCTGAAAAAAGTAGCATGCAATAGAGTGACGTTTTGTTTATATTGATATAACAGATAAGATTAATTGAATATGATATGAATGTAGCAAAAAAAAAATTTGTACGAATTTTTGAGCTAAAATATGATATTTTGTTTTCTAAAACATTACGTCAATAATTTTTATTTGCATTCTAGACACAAAATTTTTTTTTGAACGATCCAAACAATATATTTTTAGAGAAAACATAGATACAAATATTTCTCTAAACGTCTCTTTTATCAATAGAAGAGCTTCTTTGGAGTCGACTTCGATAATAAAACAATATTTAGTCATATTTGAAAAACTGGTTTATACAATTCGATCTTTAATTATAAAAGTTGATCGTATCACTTATATCTTATTCATCAGTTTTTTTCTCTTGAATATCAGTTTTTTTGTATGAAAAAAGTCTTTTTCTATGTTAATAAAAAATCGAAATATCGACATCATAATGATAAAGACTTAGAAAGAAAGAAAATAATGCATGAAGTCACTCGTTATGACAGTAAATTTCCTTGAAAAGTGAGAGTCCTCTATCGACTTACGTATATAATGGATGTTCTTGGAAATGACGGTAAGATGAGTTATTAATTATTCGTCCTTGGTAAACTTGACTTTTCTTTATTACATTTTCCTTGAAGCAATCTTCAAAAATTATGAACTTGTTTTTCTCTCTTTTTTTTTTATCACCAATAAGAATTGTGTTTTTTTTGAAGACAAAATGTAAAAAATCTCATTTAAATGGCTTTATCACAAACTTATATGCGTTCATCAACTATTGAAAATTTGTTTCTCTTTACTGCTTGTGAACGAGGAGATTTACACACAATTGAAACTCATTTAAATTCTGTTTCATCATTGAAAATCTCTTCAATACGTGATGAATATCAAGCTACACTTATTCATTATACATCAAGATATGGACATTTAAATATATTGAAATATTTTCTTGAAATAAAACATATTGATATAAGTCAATTATATACAAAACATGGTGCAACATGCGTACATGATGCAGCTGTTTGTAATCAAATGGAAATTCTTAAATATATATTTGATTATTATCGAAAAAATTTTTCTGAAAAATTTCGTTGGACTATTCGAGATGAACAAGGAAATACACCATTACATCTTGGTAAATAAAATTCTTCTTGTAAAAACTAAATTTTTCGAATATTCTTTAGCTGCTCATTACAATTCATTAAATGTTCTTCATTATTTACTTGAAGAAGAATTAGCTGATCCTCATTATCGAACTTATAATGGTTTTCAACCAATTCATTGTGCTTCTCAATATGGTCATACACAATGTGTTAAATTGTTACTATTGAAATCTCCGTATACAATTAATCAACAAACAAATCAATTATTAACTCCACTTCATCTTGCTTGTCAAGCTGGTTCATTAGAGACTATTCAAATATTAATATCATACGGAGCAAATTTACAATTAAAAGATCAAGATGGTTTAAATTGTTTACATATTGGTAAAAAAGGAATTTGTTTCTTTTTCTTTATTTCTTTATTTCTTTTTTGAAAATATTTAGCTTGTCAAAATAATCATCTTGATATTGTTCAATGGTTAATAGAAAAACAAACTACAAATATAGATGATGTCGATTATATGAATAATACACCAATACATTATGCTGCTACTAATGGAAATGAACATATCATTAATTATTTATTAGAAAAAAATGCTAAACTTATTTCAAATAATAATGGAAATACACCATTACATCTTGTTAGTAAGGATTTTTATAAACAAAAATTTTTAGATCAAGTAAAAATTAGTTACATGATACAAAGATAACAATCGAATATTGTAGAAAATTTCTTTTATATCGTTTTATGATTTTATTCTTATATTTCAAAACTTTTCTTGCAAAGATATTTCATTTTCTAACTTTCATTGATGTGTCATAAAGTTTGTTGGATTATGTTATTCTTCATATCGTGTCTATTTCTGAGAGCATTTTCTCTTACATTCTTCAATCGTTTATTTATTGAGATGTTATTGAAACAACGAAAATGGTAACAGAGGAAATAGAGAATTTCGAAAGTAAAAGAAACTCTGAATTCTTATGCAATTCGGCGTAATTGAGAACATCGATTTATGAACAAATTTCTCGAAGTCGAATTTTCTATTCAAAGAAGAGATGCAAATAATATAACAAAAAAAGTGATGTGTTTCTAGTTTTGCTACGTTTTAAAATAAAATAAAAGCTTCACTTTTTCAATAAAATCCTAAGAAGTAGAACTTTCCAATAGAATTTTTATGTGTATTGAATGTTGCCTTAGATTCAGACATGGATAAAAAAAAATTTTCAAATCCGATGAATTCTACTTGGAGATTTCACAACATAAACTCCTTATTTTTCAAATTAGTTATAATAAAAACTTATCTCATAACTGGGACCAATTTGAGTCCTTTGGCTAGCACAGGCAGCTTAGACACAACAACATTATCAGAGTACATCGAAAGCCACTCATTTCTGCCGGTTTTAACAGACCTCAAAAATATTCATCCGTTTTGATATAATGCACCATGATACAACAAGTTTTGTATGACTTCCAAATAATCTTTTTATTATCGATGCAAATAAACAAAGAAAAACTTTTCTGTTTGATATTAATATGATAAATATGTCGGTTTGTTAGATGTTTTATGATTTTATCTTGAAACTTAGGCAGCAAAACATGGTCACCGAAATGTCTGTTCTATATTAATCGAACGTGGCTATTGTTCGCTAACATCTGTTAATTGTGAACAATTAACTGCTGCTGATTTAGCTGAAAATTCTGGTTATCCATCACTTGCTAATGAATTTCGACGTGATGTAAATTCTTCATCCATTCAAGTCGAAAAAGCAACTGTTGTTCGATTAGTTATTAAAAAAAGAAATGTTCCACATTCAGATGCATCGAATCAAGTAAATGAACAAGATTTATTAAGTAAACATTATTCAACAAAGAAAAAAGAAAAATAATCCATTTTTTTTTCGAATTCGAAACAGATAAAGATGAACAATCATCAAATAAATATCCTTCATGGCTTAAAATGACAAATCAAACAATAGAAGAATTTCAACAAGATATTCAGTAAGGAGGAAAAAATCAAAACAAAAAGAATAGTTTTTTTTTTATTTGATTTTTTAATTTTCAAGGTAAGCGGAAGATATCATTCGGTAGGAATTTTATACTAATTTGCATGATTAATAAAAAAAAACACTTTTGTCTGAAAAATTTTAATTCGAATTTTTTTTTTACAGGAATAAACAATCAAATTTACGAAAAATACAATATGATTGTATGATATTGAATAGATTTATTTCTAACTATTTAATCATCTGTTCTTTTTTTATAAAGATTTTCAACAAAAACCATTAACCAATAAAGAAGATATATCAACAAGTACTGATTATTTCGAATATTTAAATAATCAAGATAAAAATAATGAATTTATACTTGTAAGATTTCGAATTAGAAAATCTGTATACAAAAAATTTTTTAAATCTTGTTTAGAATTCATCAATCGTTGCAATTTCAAAATTGCAATAAAATATTTAAAAATACCGTTATTCTTTGAATGAACGTCGACGAAATATTATGAATGAAATTTGATCATTTTTATTCTTTGTTTTTGATCAAAATCAATTTCAATATTTAATATTTTTATTATGTCGAATTAATGAAAGATAAGTTCGACCATCTAATCCGAATGGACTAGCACTCGTCGATTCATAAATAAAATCTTCAATTGATTCGATTGTCCAACCATTTTCTAATGAAAACAATTCATTTAAATCAGATTTTTTTATTCGATGTGGTTCACCTGCATGTATTTCTTTTTTCACTAATATATAGTTGAATATATAAACCATTAGGTTTAATTAAATATTCAAGATTTTTAATATAACATTGATGATCATCATTTGAAAAAAACATGAAAAATAGCCGCATCAAGAATAATATCATATGACCTTTGTTTTAAATATGTTGTTGAAAGATCACTAAGTATATCAATAACTTTAAATTGAATATTAACACTGACTTTTTGAGCTTTTTCACCAGCAACTTCAATTGCTTTAGGTACCTACACAAAATTTTATTTTATTTAAATAGATAAAATAATTATGAATTTATTAGATCGATAGTTGTCATGTTAACATTGTTTGTATGAGTAACTATATAAATTACATTATCACCAAGGCCACAACCAACATCAAGTATTTCACCATGAAAACTTCCTTGTTCAACAAGTTTAATAACAGCTGGACTAAAAAAATGCTTTATCATTATGATAAAAAGATAGAATACATAAAAACAACATCATACTTTTTTCTTTCTTTGTGATCATCAATGGCGGTCAAGTCCTAGTAGCACATACAGAAAAATAGGAAGACAGTGACAAATAAAAAAAAGAAAAGAGAGGAATAAAAAAACTCACTTAGTGTGCACGTTATCATATCTTTTCTTTTCAAAAGTAGTAGAATGACAATAAATATCAATCTAACGTGTGATATAAAAGTAATATCACAAGTATCGGCTCTTATTTCTCTTCAGTAGAAAAAGGTACTAAAAGAAAACTTTTTTCCCTTTTGAATTGTGTATGACTTAATTTTGTTATATATTCTTAAAGAAAATAACATGAGAAGAAAGGAAAAAACGTGTTCAACGAATCTACCATTTTTATATTGATTCATCTAATCCTTAGAACATACCAAAAATAGTGATTTGAGCAGAGAAAGTCCCATAGTAAACGTTTATTCAATTTTTTTCTCCAACAAGTATCTAAACTAATAGCCATGCTTAATCATGCACAATCAATTTGTTTAAAAACCTTAATCATCATCTTGGTTACGGTACTCCATATAATGATAAGAGACTGTTTGATTGATAAAGTTTATCAATTAGATCAAGCACCTGAAAAATACATAGTAATTTATCTATTGAATAGGGTGTATATAAAATAATTATGATACATTCTGATGGCGGATAGTAAAAATATCTTTATGAATGTATAGTTGGACATTATCATAATGACTTTCGACATCTTGAACGCTAGCTGATGATCTTTGTCTTCTCGTTCCATTAACAAGCAGTTGTAGGAAATTATTAGTATAGTATCAGTGATTAGAAGACTCCTTCCGTCCCATATCTGCCAGTTTTTTAAAGAGTATTTGAGTAGTTGTTTTTAGAAAAGATACCAACGATTCGAGGAAAAGGAAGTAGTTTTCCTTCGAATTAGAGTTCTACATTGAAATTCAATTAACGTAAAGGTTCTCTTTCTTCGATGCACAGTTCTCAACCTTTGATTGCGATTGTCTGTGAAGAAATCTAAATACACGACGAAACAACTGAATGGTGCAAGAATTATTTTGTTGACAAGACAAACAGCGAAGTCAGTAGTGTTGTTGTCGAATTCCATCGATCCTCTTTTATCTTTTCTTTTTTTTTCTACAGTATATCTTCACATGGCAATAACAACTGGTAGAACTTGTTGTATTAAATGCAAGAAACCAAAAAACACTGTGAAATGTGATGGATGTTTCCAAGACTTTTGCTTGGAGACACATTAATGAACATCGCAGTGTATTGAGTGAACAATTAGATACAATTGAAGGACAATTCAATGTGTTCAAAATTCGAATTGATGAACAAAAAGTCGAGCCACAAAAACCTGAGTTAATGGAACAGATCGATGAAGAAGATACGACAAGTAGCCAATAAAATTCGTCGTGAACTCTCATCATGTGTTATCAGATCGCCACCGATCTCGATTTCAAATTGAGATTTTTGATCGAACGGCTCATTCAATGTCGTAAAAAAAATGATTTTGCCGATCCAAACGTTCAGTTTTTCAATGAAAAACTTAAACTATTGAAAAATACTTTCAACAATCTATCAAATTTCAAAATTGAACATCTTTCATCAATATATTTCGCCTTACAATGGAAGGTAAAGGGTGTCTTCAAGTTGAAATCGAAAGAAAAGAACTTTCCACGGTAGAAAAAGTTCATTGTTCTATTCTATTGACATGAAACATTCGAGCACTAAGCTTTTCTTCTACAATCTTCACTGTTGAGAGAAAAATAAGATGGAATAGTAAAACAACTCTCGATGCTTACAAAAGGTACTTGTTTTTCATTGAACTTTAGCTCATAAACTATTATTCTTCTTTATCTTTGGAATAGAAGAATAGTCTTGATGTATCAGATGTAAAATATCTTAATTTTAAACGAAATACGAATGAAGGAAATGTTAAAGAATAAATTCATCAAAAAATAAGTTCCACACATTCCCTTGACCTGGGGTGTGTGGGTGTGGGTGTAAGCTCACTCTTAAATCACACCCACACCCTTTTCATTTTTATTCAGATTCTTCTTATATAAGTTGAACTTCACCACTATTACCAATACATTATCAGTATTAAGTTATTAACAAAAAAGAAATAAGAAATAAGCTAGTCAATACTTATTTTCACTTTGATTCAAATTCTTTTTATATAAATCTAGATTAAGAACCTTCGGTCGTACTTTATCAGTATTAATTATAAACACAAATAAAAAAGAAAAACACTGCTAAAGATGTCTTTCTATTGTCACTTTGACTCAAATTCTACGTGTACATTTCCGTATTCGTAACTATCATCCATACATTATCAGTATTAATTTACGGACAAGCAAAAAAAGAAATGATCTGGTCAATATCTATTTTCACTCTGATTTAGGTTCCTCCCAGATAAATCCAAGGCGAGGATCTTTGCTTCTGCATTATGAATAATAATTCAGCAATAAGAGAAAAAAAGCTATTTAATATGTATGATGCTTTGATAAAAATTCTTTTTTCTTTTTCTCTAAATTAATATCAAAAAGAAAAGAAAAGACAATGAAACTAGTCAGTATCTATTTCAATTTGGGTTTACATTCTTTTCTTTCTTTTTCACGATCGTTGCTCGTGAAATATAAGTATTAATCCATCAAGAACAAAAAGGAATAAGCTAGTCAATATCTATTTGCGTTTAGATACAATTTTTTCTCATATAAATCCTATTCCATAATCTTTGCTCGTGCATTATAAATATTAACAAATGATAAAAAGACAAATAAACTATTTAAGATTTTCTTTCACTTCCATTTAGGTTCTTTTCACATAAATCCAAATCAACCACTTTTACTTGTGTATTATGAATGTTAATATATCTACAATCAAAAAACAAATAACTCGTTGAATATCTGTCTTCATCTGATATAGACTCTTCTGTCGTGTATTGGAATCGATATGAATAATGAAAGAAAAACACCAAACGAGTCGCTATATATTATCATGTGGAATCATATATTTTTAACATAAATCTAAATTTAGCATCTTTTCACATATAATATGCGTATTGGTCTATCATTCCTAAAATCAATAAACGACGTGATTAATATCTATCAAAGAAGTTATCCTTTCTAACGAAGTAAATTGTATATCGAATCAACACTCATAATTTATTGTTGCAGCTTAGATTGTTTCAAAGGTACTAACTATATAAATATGATTTTACGTCGTATAACACTATAGATTTACATTTGTGAAAGATTTTCGATATTATTGCTCGTAAGATGTGCGTATTTCTCGAAATCCCTTGAAATACACCTCAATAAAAAAGATGTTTCGTTAAAAAGTCGTATCATCTATGAATCCAATCGAATATATTGAAATAATAAAGTCTGTATGCGAGGAAAAAATGATCTATCAAGAAAATGCAGTAAGTCTCATTAAAGTAAAAGTCTCCATTCAGGAAAAAGCATGGATCCTTTACCAATGACAGCGGTTATGTTAGAGTTCAACACTTCCGATTAGGAAAAATCTAGGCCCTCTGCAAATTTTAAAAACTCTCTTAAACTTTCAAACTTCATCTAATCAAAAACTGACGTCCACTACATAACACAGTAACTCTGTAAAGCTCAAAAACTTGCGTCCTCTACACACTACAGTAATCGTCCCCAATAAACAAAAATTCCTCTCATCAAAAACTAATGCCCTCTATACACTCCACCAATCGTTTAAAGCTTATAAACTTCCTCTTAACAGCAACTTACCCCTACTACAAATTGCAATGACTCTCTAAAATAGGAAAACTACCCATTCTTAAAAGCAAACATATTCTACAAATTATAGCAAAATTACTTGAAATAAAATATATTTCAATTTAAATCATTTAAAACATTTTATTTTCTAAAAAACTCAAAATAATCAAATTTGTACAATGTAACTATATAAATTTTCACCGTTTTCAAAAATTAATAAAATAATACAACTGAAATGAAACGAAATTATCAAAATTCTACTTCAGTTAAAACTTATTTTCTCTATGTTCCCGAATTAGAAGTAGACATTGGAAGCGTTTCTGTTCGCGTTTCGTCTGTTACTGGTGCCTCTGTTGGAAAGCTTTCAGGTGGCGATGCTTCTGCTGGAGATGTTTCTGTTGGCGATTCTACGGTTACCGGTGCCTCTGTTGGTGATGTTTCTGGTTGAGATTCTCCTGTTGGCGATCCTTCCGTTGCAGATGTTTCTCTTCGGGATTCATTTGTTGGTGCTGCATCTGTTGTAGACCGTTCAGATGGCGATGTTTCTGTCTGCGATTCGACAGTTAGCGGTGCCTCTGTCGGTGATGTTTCTGATGGTGATTCTTCTGCCGGAGATGTTTCTGTTGGAGATTCTTCTGTTACCGGTGCCTGCGTCGGAGTCGTTTCAGGTTGCGATAATTCTGTTGGAGATTCTACTGCTACCGGTGCCTGTGTCGGAGTCGTTTCAGATTGCGATACTTCTGTTGAAGATTCTTCTGCTACCGGTGCCTGTGTCGGAGTCGCCTCAGGTGACGATGCTTCTGCTGCAGATGTTTCCGTTCGCGATTCTTCGGTTGGCGCCGCCTCTGTTGATGATGTTTCTGGTGGAGATTCTCCTGTTGACGATCCTTCTCTTGCAGATGGTTCTGTTGGCGATTCGTCAGTTAGCGGTGCCTCTGTCGGTGATGTTTCTGATGGTGATTCTTCTG